CCAGTCTAACAATTCAGGGAAAGAAGGCATTGCTGCTCAGGCCTGGTCAGTGACAATGTCATGGAGGAGGTAGCAGAAGAGCGTAACCCTTACTCCGTTTGGGTTCAGAAAACTTAGATTTGGGTTCTGGCTCTGTTGCTAAATAGCTGTGTGATCTTGCATGACCAATGAGCCTTAGTTTCCTCATCTGTAAAATGGGGGTGGGGTAGGACTAGTGGGACTCTGAGGTCAAATTCTGCCTTTGGCCCTTACCAGCTGGGAGACCACGAGCACGTTAACTTCTTTCAACTTCAGTTTCCTCATCTATTAAATGGGCATAATAAAACCTGTAGGTCCTACCTCACAGGGTCTTTTGTGGGGCTCAGATAACATGCCTGAAGTGCTTTTCAGGCTTTACAGTCAGACAAGGTGTCCTCAAACTCTCAGTGCATTTCTAAGCTTTTAAAGCTGGCCTCAGACTCAGGAAGACCAGAATTCAAGTCCTGTCTCTGACACTTCCCGGCTGTGTAGTCGCCCCAATCTCTAAGCCTCTGAAGCAGAGGGCAGAGTTTCTCCTTTGCGATTCTCTGCATCAATGAATTTATGGTCCCAGACATAGAAATCAATCATTGTAATTATTGTCAGATCTGTGATAGAGAAGAGGTAGAAAGCATATTTAAGACCCAACAAGCCCTGGAAAGGGTGGTGGAAATCTTCACAAGCAATTTCCATCTAAGAGGGAGAGAACCCAAAAGCTTGGAGTCAGTTTGACTTGACAATTTAATTCAACAAATGTGCATTCAGCCCATGTTCTGGGCAAGGCTCCCTGCTATGCACTGCCAGAATCCGATTCACCCTCAGTAAGGGGTGCCTGCTCTGCTCCCTACCCCCTTCTCAGCCCTTTCTCACTGTGGTTTTCCAAGTCCCAAAGTCGCTGGTTCCCAAGCTCTGCCTGGCCCACACTGAATCTCTCCCTTTGGAGGCTAACTCAAACACCCTCTCACTGTTTTGGGTCACCCCTCCCATTCCAGGCTTTCCCTGAAGTGACTTCCTGAGGTTCCTACATCCTAGTTGGAAAATATCATCTGTGCGGTTGTGCCCAAAGGTCCCACGCAGCTGGGTGGGGCACTGGATGGACCACTGGGCCTGTAGTCACAAAGACCTGAGTTCAAATATGCTGTCAGACTCTTATTAGCTGTGTGACCCAGGGCAAGTCATCGAACCTCCAGCTGCCTCAGTATCTTAATCTGTAAAATAAGGATGATAATAGCACCTACTGGCCAGTGTTGTTGTGAAGGTTAAATGAAATCATGTTTGTAACTTTGCAGTCCTTAAAATGCTATATAAATGTGAGCTATGACTGTTATTCCAGTCTCACCAGCCTCCATATATATCTTATATGTACTTTCTTATTTACATGTCATAGCCTCCATTAGAATGTAAGCTCCTAGGGCAGCTAGGTGGCACGGTGGATACAGCACCAGCCCTGAAGTCAGGAGGACCTGAGTTCAAATCTTGCCTCAGACCAAACACTTAACACGTACTAGCTGTGTGACCCTGGGCAAGTCACTTAACCCCAATTGCCAAAAAAAAAAAAAAAAAGAATGTAAGCTCCTTGAACTATGCCCAAAGGGCTATAAAAATGTGCATACCCTTTGACCCTGCAATAGCACTTCTAGGGCTATATCCCAAAGAGATCATACAAATGGGAAAAGGACCCACATGTACAAAAATATTCATAGCAGCTCTTTTTGTGGTGGCAAAGAATTGGAAATTGAGAAGATACCCATCAATTGGGGAATGGCTGAGCAAGTTGTGGTATATGAATGTAATGGAATACTATTGTGCTATAACAAATGATGAGCAGGCTGACTTCAGAAAAACCTGGAAAGATTTGTAGGGTCTGATGCTGAATGAAGAGAGCAGAACCAAGAGAACATTGTACACAGTAACAGCCACATTGTGTGATGACTAACATTGACAGACTTAGCCCTTTCCGGCAATACAAGGATCTAAGACATCTCCAGAGGCCTTGTGATGGAAAATGCTATCCATATCCAAAGAAAGAACTATGAAAGTTGAATTGCTATTTTTTTTTCATTTCTGTTGAGTTTTGTTTCCTCTTTCTGATGGTTCCTCCTATTGTTTTTAATTTTTACTTATAACACCACTAATGTGAAAATATGTTTAATAGGAATGTAAATGTAAAGACTACATCAGATTGTGCGCCGTCTTGGGGAGGGTGGTGGGGAGGAAGGGGAAGAAAAATTTTAAACTGAAAAGCATATGGAAGTGATTATTGAGAAATCAAAATAAATTAATAAAATTTTTTTTAAAAAGAATGTAAGCTCCTTGAGGGCAGGTATTGTTTTTGTGCTTTTTGCCTTTCTTTGGATCCTCTGCTCAGCAGAGTGCCAAGCCCGCAGTAAAGTTTTCATAAATGATTGGTTGATTGGTTAAGGAAGAACCATAGCTGGCAGTAAACTGATGAAGGCAGAGGGGAGGTTGGGAAGGATGTTGTGTAGGCTAGAGAGACCTCTTAGCCACCCTTCCCCCCACCACTTAGACGAATGCTTTTTTGCTGCCTTTCTGCCTGTCGAACCCCATGGGTTCCCAATAAGTAGCTTATCTAGAGGAAACAGCAAAGTGGGAGATGCATTCCCATCCCAAGGGTGCCTGGATTGGAACCTTGTGAGCTGTATCTGTACATCTAGGCTGTCTGTGCTGCTCTAGTTATGCTGTTGGGTGTGTGTGTGTGTGTGTGTGTGTGTGTGTGTGTGTGTGTGTGTGTGTGTGCAATGTGCGTGCTCGTGTAAACAGATCTTTCATCTTTCATATAAATCAGAAGAAAAGAGGGAGGGCTGCCTATGGTGAATTTTGCTTTCCAGAGAATTTTTCAGGGACCTACTGATCTGTAGATCCCAGAGAACCTGTGATTCTTTGTAGGAAGCCCAGAGGGCATTTCTGTCAATCCCACCATTTTGTAGGTGAGGAACAGAGAGATGTGAAACGGGATTTGAACCTAGACTTTGAGTGTCCCATTCACTACACAAAGCTGCCTCAGTTTTGCTTGGGTTAATTGCTCTGGCCCAGCCTGCTGGTGAATTAAAATGCCAGTGATGACTTCCTTGGCGCTCCACATTTGGAGGGCAGGGTTTTATTTGTCCTCCTGGTTCTCCTGAGTGATTCTTGGTGGGTTTGGGGGTAGAGGAGAGAGACAAAGAGTGAGAGGAAGGGGGACATTGAAGGGGGGAGAACTTTCCAGGCTCCCATCCCTTGTATTTGCTGTTTCATCGATGGAAAGCCAAGCAATTTTGGTATGCAGTTCATGACCTGTGCCTTTCTCCAGAAGGGGAAAAAAGGATGAGGATAATGCCAATGAACGTAGAAAAAGGCAAAAGGAAAGAGTAGGCATTTCGAGCTCTCTGACAGTGTATTGATCTTCCAGGCAAATGCTTTGGAATGTGTTCAAGCTCAGGAAAAAGGGCCAGCGTTCCTTCTGAGCTTGGAATAATAAGGAGCGTTGACAGAGCAGCCTTCATGCCGGGCAGAGACTCCAGCCAGCATGGAAGTAACCAAGGGGGATGGGGACATTGCGATGATTTGTGGTGTTTACTGGTACCCCAAAGTAGAAAGGCCCCATTGATCTGGGGCTCTTGGGCTCCTGAATCATTTCATCAAGTGTGCAAGAAATTGGCAAGATACTCAAGGCCCGTCCAAGTGACACCAGGAGGAAGTAGCCTTTTCTGGCTGGAACAAATCTTAGCCTGTGAGGGGGAGAACATTAGACCTCTGTGGGGCTGGAGTAGGGAGAGCACAGCTGTGGGCTGGGCACCTCAGGGAAGCACGCAGACGCTGAGGGAGGCATCTGATGGTGGGCCTCTGGCTGAGATGATGGGAGCTGAGCAGGCTCGGGGGACAAAGGCATTCCTAAAGGGTCCACAGGATGCCCGAGGGGCATTGTCAGCAGCCACAGTCCAAAAACAGGGTGAAGCTATTCAGCACAGACCTGCAGTTCTGTGCTGCCCGAAGTCTGGTGCAATCAGCCATTATGGCTGTTGAACACCTCCAAGCCCAAGTGATGAAGAGCTTGATCCAGCTGAAAGCCGATGAGTTTGTGAAAACATGCTGAAACATGTAGGTCCCCCAGGAAGCCAGACAGCCAGAAAAAAATAAAAGATACCCCTCGTAAGTGTGATAAATGGAGCAGTCAATTAATCAGAGAAGCAAGGGAAGGAGATAGTGACTGGGAGGACCTGTCTCCTGACTGCAGAGATTAACTGCCAAAGGCAGTGTTGGCTGGTGGAGAGGAGGCTAGGGGAAAAGGAGGAGCTGGAGGATTGTGCCGGGACTGCCCAATTCCCTTCTGGCTCTGCTTTCTATTCTGTCAGAGAAGGCACTGAGGCTGCCCCGAGAAAAGGGTCCAGACTCCTCTGCGGTTCAAGCCTGAAGTGGTGCTTCCCTGGTGCACCCCCTCCTCCCCTCCTCTTCTTCCTCTTCTTCCTCCTCCTCTTCCTCTTCCTCCTTCCCTCCTCCTCTTTCTCTCCCTTTTCCTTCTCCTCTTCCTCTTCTTTCTCCTCTTCTTCCTCCTCTTCTCTCCCTATCTCTTCCTCCTCCTCCTCTTCCCTCCCTCCTCCCCCACAACAACTCTCACTGGTTGATCACAAGGTACTGTACTAAGGTCCAGGGGTACACAGAGGAATAAAGCTCTAATGGTAGAATGTCATTTACTGTGGCTTTTGGTTGTCCCCAGTCACATTACAGAAGGTGGTCGAACAGCCTGCCTGTGCATAAGGCCAGCCTTCTGTGGCTCCCTGCAGGGTGTGCCAGTACAGACAGCACGTGGGCTTGGCAGTGAAGGCCATGAGTTCAGATCCAAGCTCAGGCGCTTCATGGACATTGCACTAGCCAATGTTTCCTTCTCCATAAAACAAAGGGGGTAGGAGGGCTCCTTCCACCTATCACGCACCAGGTATGTGGAGCCAGAGACAAAAAAACCAAAACAAACGCCCGGCCATATCTTCAAGGAGTTTCTCTTCTTTTGGGAAGAAAACAACACGTCCACAGGCGAGCAAATTCAAAACACAAATAAAATAAAGTTACTTCTGTGTTTGGGGAGCACCAGTGATGAAGAGAAGCCTATTGTAGAGGGGCCACTTGAGCTGAGAGAAGGAGAGAAGGCATACCAGGTATGCGGGCTGGCTTATGCAAAGGCCTAGAGGTGGGCGATTGGCTATGGTGGGCCAGTTTCACTGGAGGGCATTTGTGGGGAGAAGTGGGAGGTGTGGCTGGAGACAGTGGCAGCTACCACGTTGCAGAGAATCACGCACGCTGAGGGGTTTGGACTTTTCTTGTATTTAATGTGGAATCATTGGAAGTCTTTGTGGTTGAGAACCATTCCGAGAACTTTGTGATGTTGGTGGGGCAGGTGGGGAGAGAGTGGAGAAGAGGAACAAACATTTAGCAGGCACATTAGTGCGTACTGTGTGCCAGACATCATGATAAACGCTTTACAAATATCATCCCATTTGCTCCCTACAAGAAAAACTTCTACTGTGGCCCCCGTGAGACAGTGACTTGTCCAGGGCCACTCAGTAAGTGTCTGGGGCCACATTTGAATTTAGGTCTTCTGGACCCCAGGCCCAGCACTGTGTGCACTTCACCCCCTAACCAGGGGGTTTACAAGAGGCTTATGCTTCAAGAGAGATGGGGACGTTTCCTAGGGTCAGAAATGTCACAGTCCAGGAAAGTCTCTCATATTGCCGAGTTGGTCAGTTCAGTGTTTCAGGTAACAGAAAGTATTCCTGTATACTCTATGGGACCAGCTGCACTATGTGGCCATTCTGAGATTCACTGTGGACCTTGGACAAATGTGAAGAAAATAACCATCACTGCGTGTTGCATCCATGATGAAAAACAATAATACGTCCTTTGAAAGGTTTAAAATGGAATTTTAATGTGGATAGAAAGAAGGTATCACCTGAAGATGCTTAAGTAAATACATATTCAGTAGCCTGTAATTTTGATCAAGACAGATCACAACCCATCTCTGACTTTCTGGATAAGTCCTCGAAATAGCTCAATGTTCAGGGAGGTCACGTGACTCGCCCAGGGTCACCGTGGCAGTAACTGCCAGACTGGGATTTGAACCTGCATCTTGCTGACCAGATCCCACAGAGCTATCCGTTGCACTGGCTGTCTTTCAAGTGAATACATAACATTAATATTTGTTTATTCTATTCAGGATAATCAATCAATCGGGCAATATCCTGAAGATACGTACATGTAGCCCTGTTTTTCCAATGGCACAGGAACTCTGGCTCCTATTCTTTGTCAAGGTGATCAAGTGAGGTAAGTTATAAAGTGTTCAGCAGTTGTTAGTGTTAGATAAATGTTAGATTTTATTATTATTGTCATCATCATCATCATCTTTGACCTGCACTGTTTGGCGACCATCAATTTTCAGATAATTAGAGATTAAAAAAAAAAAGAAATGAGATACAAGCACAATTATATTTACATATACTTGTCTAAATATAATAAATATAAATAATTATAATCAAACCAATATATGTGTGAATGATATCATGTATCATACTATATTACACATCATATCACATATTATGTGATGTTGTATATGACCATCAGGCTGGCATTCTATGATATGTGCCACATAAATAATATATCGTTTTATGTTAATTATATGTTACCTAACACAATTGCATATAATTGTATTCACATCTATTTTGTATGTCTGCATTTATGTATAACCACAACTCTAGAACTCTTCTGAGCACAAACTTACCACGTGGCTCCCAGGTCTCTTTCAGCATTTCCGAGTCATCGCTAAGAGAATTCCTTGGCATGGTGTTGCTCGGGCCATCCCAGGTTGCTAAAACAATGGATTCCTTTACCCTAGGTGGGAGTTTGGGGAAGTGCCTGGGTGCCCCTGACTGGATCTGGCAGGCTGGCGTTAAGTGATATTGAACTTATCAATAGTTTAAAGAGATACTCAGTGTTGCTAAAGGATGCAGAGTCTCCAAAACAGCTTCAGTTCATGGCTGGAGACAACAGGCCGTTGGAGTCCCTGGGGTAATCAAAGTCTTGTGGGCTCGATATGGAATTGGTGGAGAGATGTCTACTGGACCTTTAGTGACCCTACCCACTGACTCTTCTCTGATGTTTTCAGGCCTGACCTAACCTGATTCCATCACATTCTGATCCAGACCTGGAGGTGAGGGAGGCTTTCTTTGGTCCAGCATCAGGGCCTGCCATAGGCCAGCCCGTAAAATAAATGAAGACTGTCTTTAGCATCTGACCCCTTCCCTGCCTGAACCTCCGGAGGACATGAGCTGAGACTCAGCAGAGCTGATGAGAAAAAATTGCAGGTGAGTATTTACGCCTTTGGGCTACAGAGCAGAGTGTGACATTGTTTAATTGATTGTCTAGACTTTAGAAAGTGATCGAGAAAATGTTAATGCAGATTAAGCTTAAGTGAACCGTGCATTTGGAGAGAGTCCATTGGTAAAGTGACTAAAATTTTTGTCTTGATGCCTGGTATACATAAGGTGCTTAAGAAGTATTTATTGGCTTATTTGATCTCACTGGTGAAAAATTTTCTGATAAACTTATGTACCCAAATGAGTTGCCCCTTCCAGGGACATTTGGAAAAGAGGCCATTGAGAAAGGGTGATGCTTAACCCAAAAGAAGGCCTCTCTTATGGTACTCTGGTGTTTGGGAGAAGATCCATGGGAAGACTTGGACAAGAATCACCCGGGAGCAGGGGCATGGACCAGCTGTGATGTGTGCCAGTGGAGGGAATGGCCATATCAGGGAAATCACAGAGGCACTGAAACATCAGAGCAGAACTATAGCCACTGGATGGAGGAGACATTTGGGGCAAATCCTTCATCTCTTCCCCCAGATCATATCGCAGTGGGTGACCATCTAACATTTGGGTCATTGTTGGCCAATGCTGTGAAGTGATCATTGCAGCCCAGGCCCATTCTGGTGGAAATGAGCCAAGGAGCTGTAACCACTGTCCATGTTGAAAGAGCCAACATAAAATGTTACCAATGTCATGCCCCTTTCTGGCTGCCCCTACAACCCATCCTTACCATTGCTGCTTCCCTTCCCCCCGAGAGTTAGGCCAACATGGCAGGCAGGTGCACGATTGCCTTTGGAATAGCCACCCTTGTCTGGGCGAGGCCCACTCAGCTCTTGGAAGAAGCCTGCTCTGAGCCCGCAGCGAGGCTCGCTCTCCCTTCCTGAGGTCTATAAACTTCCTGCTGGTGGGGGGGGGGCATGGGTGCATGGGGGCCTCGGGCCCCCAGGCCTGCCAGATGGGCAGCTCCAGAACTTCAGGGGCGGACTGAACGAGGGGCAGGATTCTTTTCAGTTTCTTGGCTTGACTGGGGGGGGGGAGGAGCAAAAGAGGAAAACGTATCGAGATGCCATTTGTTTTTATGTCACAGCTGGTTCTAGGTCTATCCTCCTCCCTTCTCCCACCCAGTAAGCTTCCCCAGGGAAAAAGGGAAACAGTTCAATAGAACCAGCCACTGACAGCCCAGGCAACATTCTATCCCCAGAGCCTCCCACTGCTCCAAGGGAAGGAGAGAGGGCTATTTCCTCCCTTCTCTTTTGTCTTGACTTCCTTTTCTTGATGCTTTGTCTAGCTTCTGAATTATGGAAGGAGAGGAGGAGGAAAATAAGGGAGAGAGGAAGGAAGAAAGGAGGGGAAGGAGGGAGGGAAGAAGAAAGGGAAGAAAAAAGGAAGAGAGGAGAAAAGGGAGGAAGGAAAAAGGAGAGAGGAGAGAGGGAGAGAGGAGGAGGGGGAGAAGAGGGAGAAAGAAAAAGAGCAAAGAAAGAAAGAAGAGAGGAACAAAGAAAGGAAGGAAGAGAGAAAGGGAAAAGAAAGAAGGAAGAGAGAGATGAAGGAAAAAGGAAAGGAAGGGAGGCAGGAAAGGAGGAAGGGAAGGAGAAGAGGGGAGAGGAAGAGGGAAAGGGGAGGAGAGAAAGAAAGAGAAGAAAGAAAAGAGAGAGAAAGAAAGGAAAGAAGAGAGAAATTAAGAAAAGAAGGAGGAAACAAAAGAGAGGGAGAGGAAGAGAAGGAGGGAGAAGAGGAAAGAGGAAGAGGAAGAGATGAGGAAAAAGAAAGGAGAGAAAGGAAGAACAAAAGAGAGAACAAAAGAGAAAGGAAAGAGAGAAAGGAAGACAGAGAGAAAGAGGGAGAGAAAAAGGAAGAACAAGAGAGAAAGAAAGAAAAGGAGGGAGAGAGAGAAAGAAAGAAAAGAAAGAAATAGGGAGAGAGAAAGGAAGAGAGGAAGAAAAAGAGAAAGAGAGAATAAAAGAAGAAAAAAGAAGGAAGGAGGGAGAGAGGAAGGAAGAAAGAGAGAAAGGAAGAGAAAGAGAAAGGAAGAGACAGGGAAAGGAAGGAATAGTGAAAGAAAGAAAGGAGGAAAAAAGAAAGAAGAGAGAAAGAAAGAAAGAAAGAAAGAAAGGAAGGAAGGAAGGAAGGAAGGAAGGAAGGAAGGAAGGAAGGAAGGAAGGAAGGAAGGAAGGAAAGAAGGAAGGAAGGAAGGAAAGAAGGAAGGAAGGAAGGAAGAAAGAGAGGGAAAAAAGGAAAGAGGGAGGGAAAGAAAGAAAGAAAACTAACCACTAATGAATTTCATTCCTTTTTGCTTGGGCCAGGTATTTGAAACATCTTTCAAGGAGGGCTGGGTGGGGCTGAGGCTGTACATCATTTAACTCTGATTAAGCATCTGCAGAGTGCTGGGTTCCTGATGGTGAATGGGGCAGGCTCACCCCAGCTGCCTGGAAAGGTGTATTTTGGGTAATGGAGAACCTGTCTGCTGAAAGAAGAGCCGATGTCCAAGGCTGAAGATTATTATAGACCGAAACATCATCTAATACTGGGGATGCAATTTACCAAACCAGGCAATCAATACAGCAAACCCTTGTGTCTTATTCCATGCTCTTTAAATTAAGTAATGGGAGAAGTGTAACCGATTTCTCTTCATCACTGTCAGGTCTGCTTGAGGCATTAGATATTTACTCGGTAGGAGTTCGGAGGTGAGTTAAGTTCTTATAGAATTCCTTTTAAGAGTCTCTCTTCTAAATCTCACGAGTGAAAAGGAATTAAGCAGAGATGCAGAGATGAAGCTGTATCTGAGAAGGGCTAGAGAGCCGCTAGTGCAGAGAGCTCTTGGAAAAACCAGGATTATAGAAAGTCTTTAGCAGGGGTGGACAGGCTCGCCTTCCTGCCCTGGCCTCCTTTTGGGGAAACGATGCTCTGAGAACGCAGTGCTGAAAACAAGTATCTTTTCTCCTGCTTTCAGGGTGGGCATCTCAAAGCACTTTTCAAACTGTCCTGGTCGCTGCCAATTTCTCTCTCTGCCCTCAATGTAGTGACTGCCTAACCTCACCTAGGTTTCCTTAACCCTGGCTTGAGAAGTCTCCTTCCCAAAGTGAGGTCTGAAAGCAGAGCTGCTGAGGGGTTCTCGTGGCCAGTTTTCCTGGTGGGATGAATGGATGTACAAAAGAATGAATGAAAGAGAAAACAATATACATTCATTTTTTAAAATCTTGAGTTCCAAATTCTTCCCCTCCCCACCTCCATGAAAAGGCAAGAAGTTTGATATAGTTCTGCCACATATTGTGGGACCTTGAGTAGGTTACTTCTGGTTGAGCCTCAGTTTCCTCATCTGTACAATGACGGAGCTGGACTAGGTGACCTCTCAAGTCCAGATCCTAGGGTCTGAGATGTCTACGAGTTTGAGTCAGAGAGTAGGGCCTGACTCAAAATCCAGCAGTGTTTTCACTAGAGTCAATACGGCAAAGCTCTGTGGAGTCTGAGACAGAAGCATCTCTCCACTCCCCCCCCCCCAGCCTCTACCCCAAATATGGGCATTTGGAGGGGAGAACTGACTTCTTCCTGCAAATACGGGCCTCCAAGTGTCAGGGTTCCCATAGTAACTTATCCTGGGTAACTATGCCTGTTGCCCTTTGAACCCAAACAGCTCAGTGTATCTATCTAGCCTCGCCTCTCTGATTTAAGCCCTCAGTGAAAAGCCCCTGATAAGACTCCATCAACAGCAGTCACTTGGCTAGAGTCGAGGCACTTGGATCCAAATCCTCTTCCTGTTACTTCTTGTGTAACTCTTAGCCTGCCTCAGTTTCCTCATCTGTAAAATGATGGGAGTTGAATGAGATGGCCTCTGAGTTTCAGTTCAATTCTAAATCTGTGACACTCCCATTCAAGCCTGCAGATGGCTGGAGGCGGGGTGGGGGCATTGGAACAGAACCCTTGCCTCCCAGATGCCATGTATGAGGGTTGGCCAACCCCACTGGCCACAGGGCCCCTGCCCGTGTTCCAGACCCCTTTATTCACTGCTTGGGCAGTGCAATGGGGGCTTTCCTCACCGCTTCTTCCCGGTCTTCTGCGTGAGGTCTGGGAAAAGAAAGAATAGAAGGATGGGCTTGCATGTTTGCATGAGGTTGTGAGGATGCCTACATGTGCTTGTGGTTAATTATGTCAAAGGAGAAATACATTGAATAGCTTAATTATGGATGAATTCAAAGAGGGTAATGTGCATCTTTAACTCATTGTCACAGGAGTCCTCTTTGGGTCTGTCACTGCTGTATGCTGAAAGAGCTTGTCAGTCATCAGCTTGACAGTCCAGGCCTCATCCACGTATTCACAGTTTGATATAGATTCCGTAATGAAAGGTCCTATCCTATATTCTAATTCTTCCACTTCCCAAGATCTCAACTCATTAGGCAAGGAGCATATAAAATGGAGCTACTTGGACTCATTAATTTTCTTCTCTTTGATGAAGAATTACATATTCCAGGGATCATGATGGCCTGTGGTAACTGCACTTATTGGGTGATGAAGGCCTTTGTCTTTGGGTCTAATAGCCATCTCTTAAGCAAGGAGAACCATTATTACTCAAGGACCCCTAAGCCCGTGATTCATTCTTTAAATATAAAAGCTCTTTTCCCTCCTCATTTAAAAAAAAATGACCTATTCACACCATTCTAAATGGGTTTCGTCAAAGTTTCTCACTGCTAATCAGAGAATTTGAAATAAACTAAAATTTGCGATGTTCTCAGAACAGCCTTGTCCTTGTGTCTATCTTCATTCTATTGAAAGGGCTTACTGGGTTAAATCATTCAGTTAGGAGAGGGTGATGGACTTCCCCTCCCCGACTCCCCCCTGTTAGGTGACATTTTCTTATATTAACTCTTTCTTCTCCATCAGAGGACCACCCCAGAAAAAATTAGTGAACTTAGAGAGCCTTTGTACATTTTTC